GGCATTGTTAAGGGTATAAAAATTACAGAATTAGAGCATTGTTTGGTATGCAAAGATGAAATTATTACATATCCTCTCAAAGCATTCACAACACTATCTTGCGGGCATGTCTTTTATAGAATTTGTATCAAAAAAGAACTTTTACTTACAATGCCAAATACATGTCCATTCTCTGGTTGTAGTAAGGAGGTCGAATTATCGAAACAAATGCTAGAAGGGGTTCTGGGTCAAGTACATCATCAGTAGTTAGGGGGATGGAAAAATATAGTATCCAATCTCAAGATTTGCCAGAAATTATAGAAGAAGATATGTCAGATATAGATGATAATGAAGATAGTGAAAGTAATCGTCCAACAGACCAAAACATTATCTCTTTAGAAAAAGAATCACGTAAAAGACCTAGTAAAGATATCTCTGAAAATAAATTATCTAGTAAGAAAGTAAAGACTAAAGACGGAAATGTATCTATATTAAAAAAACTTATTGAGGAGCTGAAATCGCCAAGTTTTTCAACAAGTAGTACCACTTCTCAGGCTGAATCTATCACAAGCCCAAGTAATTTTTCTGATTTATATAGTGCAATTGTTAAGGCTGAAGAACGAATTAAAAGTGTGAATCAAGAAATTATTATATGCTATTTTGCTTTTGGAAAAAAGCTTAAGGAAAGGTTAGCCAAGTATATGAAAGATAATAAAGAGCGTAGATCTCAGAGAAAATTTTATAAAGAAGTTGAAAAACAGCTCCTATCTAACTTCTCGAAAAATACAATTGAGAAAAGAATAGAAAGAGCAAGGAAAATTTATGATCTTTTTAGTAGTATAGGTGAGGATAAAATACAATGGGTAAGATCTTATTCGGCATTGAGAATTTCTAAATTAAGTTGGGACGAAATTGATGCTATAGAAGAGGAGTTTGAATGAGATCATCTTTACTGTGCCATAATCACGTGACTTTGGTTGACCGATCGGTCAGTAAAACCAGAACAGCTAAAATACATTAAGCCACCAAAATTAATAAAAAATTTGTTTTAATAGTAGGCATTAATTATTTTAAAAATACATATTTTTTGTGTATACTTGTTAAAAGATCAAATTTCATATTTTCTTATAAGGTTTTATTTGAGTGATTGTTTCAAAAATCACTTGCGAAATATATGAATATAGTAGACATATAATTTGTGCAATTT